TTCCGTAAATTCACTCGATAAAATCATCAAAGGAGAATTGAAAGCTCTTTTAAAAGAGGTATGGACACGGAATATTCCTTGATTCAAAGAAATTGACTTGTCTCAGGATATACATGGTGTTGCGAAATTCGACCGACAACGCTTCACAGGTGATAGATCTCGTGATTTCATAATCACTTAGAAAAGGACATACGGTCTTACAAGTGTTCAGTTCTCGAGATACAGGGCGTTAAAGTTGAGAAATAAAAATAGTTATTGTTTCGCAATATCTCAAGAAAAATTTAATATAATGCATTCAACTTCGATATATGGTTTCATATCTTTGAATGTGTCATTTTATGACCAGGAAGCCAGTCCGGACATTTCATTCAGTGGTGCCCTACAGGGGGTTGTGGCAACTTTTCCTCCCATATTTTCTACGCCACTGATTGAATTTCGATTATTTCCAATTCCTCGAATTCACTGTTCAATTTTGTTCAAAAAATGCATGACCTCCAACTGAGCTGAAATAAACAGTTTTCGAGATATTCGACCCAAAATAGAAGATTTCATATTATAATATTCCACCACTTTCAGTTGCAAATATTTTTCTGGTGTTGAGTAGTTTGGATACTATTCAAATATTATTCTGTAGCTGAACAGGAATAGTTATTCCACGCATAAAGAGAAAACAAAAATTTTTGTAATTTTCTACTACTGAGGAAGATGAAAAATTACTATGCAAACTTCTGTTTTGGGTCAAATATCTCGATAACTGTTCATTTTAGCTCAGTTGAAGGTGATGAATTTTTTCAACATAATTGAACAATCAATTCAAGAAAATGGAAATGATCGAAATTTCATCAGTGGCGTAGAAAATATGGAAGGAAAAGTTATCACAACCCTCTGTAGCTCACCTCTGGATAGAATTCTCGGAATGCCTTTGTGGTCAAAAAATTAACCATCGAAAGATGAAACCATATACCAAATATGAATGCATTATATTCAATTTTTCTTGAGGTATTGCGAAAAAACTATTTTAATTTCTCAACTATCTCAGTGATTATGAAATCACGAGGGCTATCACCTGTCAAGCGTTGTCGGTCGAATTTCGCAACACCCTGTATGCCTATTTGAAAAATCAATAAGCAGATGAGATGATTTTGACATTTGATAATTTTGGTTTCGGTTGTTCCATACATACACTTTATCATCGTCCCGTAGATAGAGTTTTTATTTACAAGGTTGTACAAATTGAAACTAGAAGACCTAATTAATCTAGATTGTGGGCTCGTCATTTTTTTTTTATTTTTCACTATCCATTGAGTCGAGGTCAATCCATATTGATAACTTGTTGCTCGAAGTGACAATGATTAAGTCCGATTGTAAGCTTTGAATGCAATTCAATCCTGCTATTGAAATCTGTTGTTCATGATTAATCAATGCAAAATTTTATTCGATTCATATACAGTGTCGAAAATTGATATTCATACACATAGGAGTGGAAGGAACACACTATACTAGCTTTTTGAGGTAAGTATACAGGGTTTTCAATCTTAAATCGACACTATTGCTAACGTGGTTATAGTTTGAGTCACAAAGTCGGTTGAATAGACGAACTATACCTTTTCAAATTCAAATTGAGACTAATCAATTCCAAATTAGAATTCAACACATCCAAATTGGTAAACAGATTCAAAATGAGAATAAACACAATCAAATTGGGAATTAGCATATTCAAATTCGAAATAAATATTTTCAAATTGAGAATTAACATATTCAAGTCGATCAACAATCTTAAAATGAGAATAAACCCATTCAATTTGGGACCAAACCATCAAACAGCTTCAAATTGAGAAACGAATTTTCAATATTGTGTCAAAATCGAAATTAATTATTAGCAATCATAATTCATAGTACGTAATATTTGAATTGATATATACCTCACATAAAAAAAGATGCAGACCATATTAGAAATCGAATTTGTGCGTTGTTCAATAATAATGATGATTGGGGGAGACTGGCGGATACAATAATCGGCATAAAAAAATCGATGGGTGAAGAATCGGGAGGGAATAAATAAACGAGGAGGAGAAAGGAGGACCATAATCACTGGAGAACATCACATCATTGTACAGAATTCAATAAAAATAAATAATTGCGGTGAATATGTAGCTAATTCCTGATTCTCTGAAATTAATTGATATGGTTAGGTATGTGAATTATCTTTATACCTACTTATATATATTTGTTTATGCGATGTGCATTACAGTTGTTCCCAATTAAAATCCGACTTGGAACAGATCCGCTATTGAATCAATCAAATTTCATATTGTAGGCATATAAATGTTCCGATTTGAAATTGATTGGTTTCAATTCGAATTTGTTTAGTTTGAATTTGGATTTGTTTAAACCGTGCCTATAGTCATTTTGTCCCAATTTGAATTCGGTTATTCCCATTCTGAAAGTGATTAGTCTCAATTCGAATATGTTTATTTTCAATCTGAATGTGTCAAATCCATGCTGAATCATTTCGTCGCAATTTGAAGATGGTTATTCCTATTTTGAAAATGATTAGTCTCAATTTGAAGTTGTAAAGGTATTCTGATCACGATGATTAAAACGAAACAAGAATCTAACATCGCGTTTACGAGTTATGTCAAAAAGACACCGTGAGTAATACCTCGACCATCCTGGACTATAACCACAATCACTTTGACGGATTTGAAAAATGGTCGCTAGCTTAGTCATTTTTTAATTTACGATGAAATATCATAGGCCATTTTTTGTTCTGAATCAAATGTCCATCGAGAAAGAATATTGAATACCTAAAATTACCTTTTGACATAACTCGTGAACGCAATGATCGATTTTTCTTTCGACTTCATCATCATAATCAGCAGGAAAACTACTACTAGTTTGTCCATTTGACCAACTTTGTAGCTTTGTATAATTTGATATTCACCAATGAGTTTCTTTCAAAAACATTGAAAAAGAGAGTTCCTCGGGGAGTTCATATCATCTTACCCCTAACATGATAAGGTTCAGATTCCAACTTTTACCTGTGTAGCCTTTATGTCATAATCGAAGGCATTCCAAGATGCATGGTGATTATAGGAATAAATCGAGAATAAAAGTCCCATCTGGTTTACGAATTTTCACCAGCTATGGGAAATTTCCCTAATAATCTGAAACAGATTTCTTTGTGAATCGAGGGTAATAGGTACATAAATAGGTTCATACCTCGGTACATACCCTTGTAATCAAGCTTATGATAGATACTATGCAGTATGGGTTTGAAGTAATTTGCCGCCCGGTCCGTTTTTTATTTCTTCTTCAGGAAATATTTTTCAATAAAATTCATTGAACGAAATTACATGGATAGAAACTCGGATATTCAGAAATTGATATAGAATTCATTTGGAGAAGTGAAACTTAATCAAATTTCGATAACAGATGAGTAACTAAGGAATATTATAGGGAACATTATATTTATCATTATAGGTAAAATGACAGGTAACAGTTAACTCGTTGGGTAACTCTTTCAAAACTTGATTTCTCGCTTTCTTCGAAGTTAATTATTTATGATACTATTTGAAAGTATTCGATTCATTGAGCTCTGATTGATAAACGGCCGAAGATACCTCAATTTTCTTTAGAAAATGGGATTTCTCAGGTAGGTCTTTACCTTCTTTAAAGTGGAGCAGAACCGTTCACAACACTCATTTTGTGAACATCATAGAGAAAGCAATTAGGTATATGAAAACAATTTCTTGAAAAGAGATGATATTAATTTTTTAGTCACTCATTTTTATATATATCATTCCAATATTATCGAGAATATTATTGATGTTAATTTTGTAATGTCAAAATATTTTCACCTTCACGTTAGCTATATTATATAAGGATTCCTTGGATAGTTTTTCACGAGGTTTTTCATCATAGGAGCTCACGGGCTCAAATTTTTATGTAAAATGATACTTTTCGCTAAAACGGTTCGTTTACCTTTTTCAGAAAGAAGTTTTTGGAGATTCATATTTTGGTAAAAAAAATGAGACGAACCCTGAAACAAATTACCTCCCGGAGTATACGAACGTCATTCTTGGACACTCTTTATATAGATACGAAATTATCAGTCAGGAAAAAACCGAAAGGAAATAAACCACATCCCGAGCACATCCAAAACCTCAACAAACTTTTCTGTAATTCAATTGTTGATTTGACTGAAAAATACTTCTGAACAATATTTGTCAGTGGAAGAGACATCGAGAAGACCCACCTATTCATCCTCGGATTTTGATTTATCCTACCTAACAAGACTGCTATGGATGTACATAAAACATTGTGTTCGTAATTTTTCCTCCATGGCTGAAACTTGGTTTCAAATTGATCACTTGTATGTATCATTCGATTTATAGTTTTTATTTCGAATGGACGTTGAACTTTGCAAAACCCTGTTTCAATCATTCACTTTCATGCATATTGAATGGTCTAAGAGAACATCTTTATATCCATTAGTTTTGAGTTGTGATCGTGTTTTTCAAATCCTAAGGTCTTCTTTTTTGCAAGCAAAGGCATTGGAATAAATGAGATCTTGGTCAAACTTGACGCAACCACTCCAAAGTTTTGAAAAGGTTATCACAAGGATAGAAGATATGGAACATTCGGAAAATAATAATTGTCTTTCACTAAACGAGGCCGCCAAAATTTGTGCATATGTATTTTAAGGCTGGGTTCAGCTTTCAAAAACGAATCCAGCAAAAGTTATATCAATTGGTCTTGGTATATCTATCCATATCCTAGGAATCTTATAATTTTTTTGTAAACATTTTAGCAGCAGTAGATCTCTGGAAAATCAATTCTCTGTTGACCTGCGCATAGCTCAAGGTTTGTTTTTCAAGGAAAATTGAGGTAGGTTGTAGTTTTAGAAGATAAAATAGCAATTCCACCTGTTCCCTTGAATGGATCACGTAATTCACCTTCAGTGTCAAAAAGATTGATCGACTAGTACGAGTACTCACCTTGATTGGAGGAAGTTCCTTTGAAGAAGCTGTCACACTGACCTGGGAAAAATCAAACTGGATTGCACTGCGCGAAATTTGTCGTCGAACTGAACTTGGTTACTGATATTTTGAAACTTTTTTTGGGATGTTTTGAGTTACATTTTCATGGCTTTTGGGCCCGATTTTTTTTAACTTTAGCTTTGCATTTGCAAGCAAGTGTTGTGCCGATGCACTTCAAACACTGACTCCTGGTTGAGGACTGATCGTGATCATGTTGGATTAGTTGGATTGGCTGGAGCACCGCTTCATAGCATGCACAGACGTAGACTATCCCCACTCCTGATACCACGTGGTGGACCGGAGGTCTAGATTTATCTGTGAATGGAATGGATGGCTCCTTATAGTTTATACGCCAAATTTTCATCAGTTCATCAGTTGATGAATCCAAAGTCTTTAAGGTTTAAGGTGGGAGACAAAAAATGTCGACTCCTACTCTAGCGATATATTTTTGTTTTGGTTGTTGGTCAATAACTCTGTACAGGGCGCTCATCGGCATCGGGGTAGAATGACGTAAAGTCTAGGCAAAACAAACTGACAAGAATCAAATCAGTAGATATATGTTCCAGGGGGGGGGGGGGGGAGGGATACCATAAGTCGTGCCAAATTTATTGTACATAACTCTACCTCGGTTATCCCTATTCATTTATATGTAGGTACTGGGCGTCCCATCAAAAAATGAAGGAATTCTATTATTTTTGAGAAACATTTATGAATGGAGCAGAAAAATTACCATTTATTGATATTGATATTGTCTCGGTGATTGTCGTGGAGCGAATTAAATCACCCTGGGTGCCAACTATCGGTTGGTGGGTATACCTATAATTTATTGAAACCCATGTAAAAATTTTTAATTATTGAAGCTCACAGAGTACCTAAAATTTTTTTTTTTGCGTTTGATCATTTTTTTTTTCTCATGTTGAACAAATACACATTGATATACAAATTACAATTTGATACAAACTTTACTCATACATCTGAATTGAGAAAGAATTTTTAATAAGTACTTTATTGGGTGATATATCGGGTGTCAACGAATGTATTACACAGGTCGATCATATAACTTCTAGAACATTAGGTTCAAATGAAATTTGATATATAGGTAAATGGTGTGTGAAGAAGAGAGTTTCCGCATATTTTTCACTTCCGAGTCAATTCCGGATTCACCGAAAATGGCCTTGTTATGAGAATTTTTTAATAGAACACCATGTATATTGTAACATTTCTGGATTCCTGAGACAGTTTTGGAAAAGAATATGACTTTTCTCGAAGGTTTTATGTCTACTCCATTTTTTTAGTCACTTTCGATACCTATTGCATAAAATTTAGGAAGATTCACTGTCTGCTCTTAAGGGTTATGCTATACTGTGACTACCCAAGTGAGTGTTTTGTTTTCCAAAGAACATAGCGGCTATCTAGGGAGTATAGGGAGAGGAGGTATTAGTATTTTTCGGGCGCTCTAAGCGATAAATAAAATATCACAGATCATTTAACCGGCAGATTCGGAATGGAAAAAAGATTATCTGAAATATCTCTCCAAACCCAAAATTCACAATCCCATCTTCGATTATCTTATCTTATAATATATGACTTAAAAATCGACTTATAATAATTAATGAGAGAATGTTTCAAGTAAGGAATCACAGTTACAACCCCCTTTTTTGTTTTTTTTTTCTTTTTTTGTTTCACCATCACCCTAGATATATATTTTCATGATAAGATATGATATGATAATTTGAAAAACAGTATTTGAATACCCTGATGCAATTTCAAACATAGCGGCACACTCGTCTAGACAGTGCTGACGTCATAACTCCTCTTCATGCGTTATCAGCCATTTTATTCCAAGGAATATTTTCTTGATTTCCAGATGGAATCAACTGTATATGACATTTTTTTAATATTGAACGATTTTGATATACCTGCCATTTTAATGAAACTCAAATTCAGATGATGTTTATATGTATCACAATCCAGCTCATTAGAAATTGTCTTGCCCAGTTCATCCATGGCGTTTTCGAATTATTGTTGAAATCAGTTGAAATATCAACTTTAAGTAGGGATAAAAATGCAAACAAATTCTCTGTGTCTTTTCTAATAGCGATGAGGTATTTATTATTGAAATTTAAGTGTTATCGTCTACTGTAGAGTCAAAATCGACTTATCATCGAATATTATTGAATCATCTAGATATTCTAGAAGAAGCATAGTTTTACCAAGACTTGTATACAGAAGTCCAAAGTATCATTCAGAGCTGACAAAACCTTGTTTTGTTTCCATTGAGAAACATATGTATTTTTCATGAAAAGCTATTAAAATGATAGTTTAAAATCAATTTGAAACCTAAGGCCTGTTCGTTTGTGTTTGCTCTACCTGCTAAACTTGATTTTTTTCTATGACTTTCTCTGTTTACATCATGCCATGAACAGAGACAACTATGAGAAAAAAACAACTTCAGCATGTTCAGCAAATACAAACGAACACAAAGACTAAAAATAACCTGTGTTCTAACATATATGTGGAGAAAGAGGTCTTACCAGTTAATGCAATACACCAGCATAGAGTTAGCATGTCTATGCTAAAAATCAGAATTATTGTAACATATTTTGAAGAATGATTACTTAACTACTGATGAGTCACTTTCAATGTTTGTATTTCCCTCGTATACTAGAGGACATAATATCGTTAGGACAGTGCATTTTTAGTTTTGAGAAGGAGCAAGCACTTTTATATACCTACAAAACGTTTTGGGATATTTCAAATCTTTTTTCCCATTCGCCGGTTACTATGTGTTAAATATGGAATCCATCCATATTCCTCCAAGTAGTCCAAATGATTCTCAAGGAGTATCAGAATGAAAATTATATGCATTTTTTTCATGTTCTGGTTCTCACGAAAAGGGATATCCTGTAATGTTCAGAGAACATCGTGAGAACCAAGGAAAATGAGGTAGGAATTGGTGTTCTTCTTAAATTTCTGAAGGTTATATTCCTCGTGGAACAGCTCCCTTGGCAATGTGTTCCAGAGCCTCGCTGTTCGTTGGATGAACGAGTCTTTGGAGAGAGATGTTCTGCAGGTCTCCAAAGTGACCACGAAGGGGTGCGAAGCCTCAACTCGACGGGTTAATCTTGCTTTGCAGTCATGCAGATTTTCTACAGTTTCTCCAGAACCAGATTCATACCGATATTTGTCTAACCCTGTTGTCTTACGCAATTCCTAAAATCTCTTCTCTTCTTGACACATGCTGTCGAGGTATACTACATCTATAATTTTGTGGATGATGATGACCGGTGGCCGAAACTAGTCGCACCTTCTTCATCATGTAATTTTTCAACTTCGCCCAAATTTTCTGGCAATTCGTTTGTTCAACATGATAGCAGAGTTCTACTAATATACAGGGTGTTTCAAAAAAACCTGACCCCCTTGCTAGGGTAGGTAGATCACTGCAAAATAAGTTGGGTTTTTTCAGTGAAAAAATGTCTTAACGGCATCCGTTTCCATGATACAAGGTGTTGAAAAAATTACTTTTTTACACATTTTTCACGATTATGTCGAAACTACTGGAAACATTGTGATGAAATTTTGTACGGATGTTTCTTGAAATCTGACACATCGCATGAATTTGTTTTCATATCTGACTCTCATAGAGGGCGCTAGTTACACGGTTCGTACCGAGTAGTTTAGAACATAGCTTTTTTGAGGTTAGATTTCCCAATCCAAATATGATATGACCTTAAACCTCATTCAATTTCACACCAAAAAGGAACTCTTGGTGAAACTCGATACTATGTTCCGTTTTCGGAATATTTTGATTTGAAAATATTAGAGTAGTATTGATGCTGGTATAAAATGAATTTTATTGAGTTCAATTACCTATTTATTCAGATTCAAAAACAATAGGATCATTCTTGTGCTGATGTTATTGATGGAACAAAGAATCATAAGTAGAAAATAAAGAGATATTTGACTAGAAACATGAAATATTGAATCAGTTATAGAGTAATTGTTCAAAATGTCCTACGTTTCGACGAATACACGATTCTATATTCTTTTCTTAAGAATGTATTATTCTTCTAAACAGTTGAGGATCAGGTGTTAGGTCATTTAAGTGATGTTTAAGTATGTCTCACAACTCTTGACGTGAATTTACCTATGTAGCTTAGACTTTCTGCTCAAGATACAACAAAACTGTGTAATCCATTTCCTCAGTCAAATCTGTTTCGATGTTATTCTTGTGATTCATTGTTATATCAATAAGTTTAGCATCAGAAATGTATTGCTGTTTTCGGTTTTCAATAAATAGGTGATAATTTTTCATAATACTCGCTCTATTACATAGCTTTATACCAGCAACAGTTATCACTTGATCATTTTCAAATCGAAATATTTCGAAAACGGAACACAGTATCGAGTTTTACCAAGAGTACCTTTTTGGTGTGAAATTGAATGATGTTCAAGTTCACATCAAATTTGGATTGAAAAATCTAACCCCAAAAAAGTTATGTTCAAAACTACTCGGTACGAACCGTGTAACTAGCGCCCTCTATGAAAGTCAGATATAGAAACATAGGCATGCGATGTGTCAGATTCCAAGAAACATCCATACAAAATTTCATCACAATGTTGCCAGTAGTTTCGACATAATCTTAAAAAATGTGTAAAAAAATTATTTTTTCAACACCTTGTATCTTGATAACGGATGCCGTAACGAAATTTTTTAACTGAGTAAACCCAACTTATTTTGCAGTGTTCTACCTACCCTAGTAAGGGGGTCAGGTTTTTTTTAAACACCCTGTATTGAGAGTGGCATTTGAGTAAATATTTCCAGTTCGGTGTTTCCATGCTGTGACGTAAAAGAAGTCTGGCACCAATCCTAATAATAAATACTAGAGAAAAACACCACTTGCAGTGTCCAACACGGTGCAAATCACGTGGTAGTCACGAGGTGGTCTAACTCTCTATATAGATGCTAGACTGTTAGGTACTTGTTTTTGTTTCGTTCTGAATTCGTTATCATATCAACTGTCGTCGTGACTGCAATATACAGTTTCTTATGAAATAATCGACTAATTGATATGGAAATGCCAATGCAGAACCTATCCCTGTGATATTACATCGATGTTTATACGAGGTGTTTTTCAAAAAAGTACAAGTATATAGTATAAGGAATGTTTCCAAAATATCAGTCTTTTTTTCAATTTTTCCAATTAACGAGAAATTTCATTTTGAAAAAAGATCAAGTTCGCCACTTAGAAACAATTTTAATGATTGT